CCCTCGGCGGGAGCGCCTCCGCGCTCCCAAGCGGCGCACTGTAGCAGTGCACCACCGGGCTGGCCCGCCTCTGAAACTTTTAGAAGAAAATGTAGGAGAAAATTTTTATGTTATTGGGATGGAGAAGGCCATTGTAAACAAGACACAAATCCCAGGAGACTCAAAGGAAAAGATGGACAGGTGGGCTACATAAAAACGTGAAACTCCCGCCACGTGTTGTGGAGCTTCAGTGAGCAGAGGAAGCAAGACGCACGAGGATGCCTCTCCCCTCCATGCCGTCCTCCGTGGGCTGGGGCTGGGGTGCAGGGCCAGGCAGCCAGGCCCACGTACTCACTGTTGAGTCCCTCCTTGTTCACGATAGAGCTGCTGCCCAGGGCCTGGTAGTACTGCTGGTTGCTCATGAGCGTGTGCATGCCCAGGATGGCTGTGGGGACAAGGAAGGACCTGTGACTCACTTCTCTCACACAGAAAAGCCTCCTGGGAACTCCCATTCCATACCCAACACTTGCATGGAAACTGAAAAAATTTTATTTTATATTTACTCTCGCCTCTATTTATGTGACTCTCCCATCTCCGTCCCCAGCCCGGACTCCCCTAGTCCCTGGCCTCATTCTCCTGGATCTCCCTGGTCATTCCACTGGCACATCTGACCTAACTTAGCCAAATCAGAATGACTCTTGTCCAACAACAGCCTCTTCCTTTGGACCACCTTCCATCTTGTCATCCTGCCTGTCCTTCAGGGGAAAACCCCTAAGGTCATGAGACCTCCCCGGTGTCTCTCGGATCTGCCCCACCTCCCACTCCATCTCCTCTGTGCTGGTTGAGGCCCTACCATTTCTTGGCTGTATTATCAGAGCTGTATAACCACTGGAGTCCTGGCCTCAGTCTCTTCCTACCCTCTACCTCCCAACATTCAGCACAGAGCAGCCAGAAAGATCTTTCTGGAATTGCCAACTGACCAAATCACTCCCATGCTCAGCCATTCTTTCAACCATTCATTTGCTCAACATTTATTGAGCACCCACACTGTGTGCGCTGCTCTAGGAGAGACAGCCAGAACAAGAAAGACAGGGTCTCAGCTCGCACGGTTGCCAGTCTGCTGGGGAGAGAGGGGCTAAGCAAGTCCCTGCACAATTACACATATAAGCACAGGTACGGTGGGTACCGTGGAGGAGAAGTTCAGTGTGTTCTGGGACATGGGAAGGGAGCGATGACTACGTGTTGTCCAAGTTAAGAGAAGGGAGATAGAACATTCCAGGCAGATGGAATGGCAGGTAGGAAGCCCTGCAGCTCAAGGGCAGCAGGCCAGAGATAGAGGAGGCTGGGGGAAAGGGGGAAGAGGACAGAGCTGCAGTTGGATTTGTGGTGGCAATAGTAACAAGGACAGTGATGACACCCTCACTCACTGAGCATGTGCCCTGGGCCGCAGGAGACCCTTCGTATCGGGGATTCACAGTTGGTTTGTACACCAGAATCACTTGGAATCTTTGGAAGCTCCTCATGCCCAGGCCTGCCTCAGACAAATTAACCCAAAATCTCTGGGGGTGGGGCCTATGCATTTGCATTTTTTAAAGCTCCCCAGGTGGTTTCAATGGGCAGCCAAGGCTGAGGACCATTGCCTTATAATACCCACCTTGATCTGCACAACAACCCCCTGGATTTATTCACACAGGCAAGGTTGGATCCTATGGGGTCTTCTAGGTTGAGGTAAGGAGTTTGGATGTCTTTTTCCAGGGTCACCTGGGAAGTCATGGAAGGCATGAGCAGGGAGTGAGACGGTCTGAGCTGAGTTCTGACAGTGTGTGGAGAACTCACTACAGAGGGGAGAGATGGACATGGCTTCGGGAACCCTGAGGCTGCTGCAGCTGCCCAGATGGGAGGATGGTGGCTTGTGATGGCCAAGTCCACACCCTACAGCCTGGCCTCACAGGACTCCCTGGGCTGGCCCTGCCTTAACAGCCTTGTCCTTCACCCACTTTTTCTGCTCCGGCTACACAGACAGGCACTGCTCAGTCCATTCTCCTGCTTTTGCCAGTGCTGTCCCTTCTGGTGGTGATTCTCTACACCCAGTTAAATTGGAATTTCAGATAAACAATGAATAACTTTGTAGTATAAGTATGTCCCATTCAATATTTGGGATGTACTTGTACTAAAAAGTTATTGTTTATCTAAAGTTCAAATTCCACTGAACATGCTATATTTTTTTTAACAACTCTACCTCCCAATCCTTCAAGACTTGAAGTAACCCTTCCTCCTCCAGGAAGTCTTCCTGGGTTCCTCCCTCTCCCTCTCTAGTTCTCTCACTGCACCTGGTGTCCTTACTAGACCACAGAGTACCCACTGTTAAAGCTATCTGGATACACACGTGTGCTTCCCGTACTAGACTGTGGGCTTTTGAAGGATTGGGAAAACTATTATCTCTCTCTCTTCCACCTCTCCCACCTCTCTCCAAAGACAGTAGGTATTTGGTAAATATTTGGTGATGATTTTTTTAAATCTCTAAGCCATCTCATTATATATGGTTTCCAGTTAGAGGGACAACATGAGAGCTTGTAAAGAAGAGTCAGGAGACCCAAGTCCCAGTCTTGACTATGACCCTGATGCCAGTGTGACATTGGGCAAGTCCCCTCCCCTCTCTGGGCTGCAGCCTCCTCTGCCCAGCGAAGGGTGAGGCAAGAGCTGGGGTTCTTAGCCATGGCTGCGCATACGAATCACCGGGGAGTTTGAAGGCAATATCAATGCCTAGCTCTACCCTGGACCAAATGATGCAAGTCTCTCTAGATATCTTTCTTTTTTTTTAATCTGCTCGGGTGATTTGGGGGCTCACTGGGAGCTGAGAACTACAAGATGAGATGATCTCAAAGTCCCTTCTGTTTCTCACATTCTAAAAGTCTTTTCGGCTAAAATTAGGCTTGCCTGTTCATCACTAAGGAGAACTGGTAGGGAGAGAGGCATCTGCATTTTTTAAAGCTCTCAGGGTTTTAATTTAGGCTGCATCTACGTGGGCAGTGGGAGCCAAGGCCTGAGTCAGCGGCAGGTGAATCAGATCACAGCGAGTCACCCTCTGGAGCCGGTTCTTCTAGCTCCCACACAGCAGCTCATGGTGGTCTGGGCTGCCGCTGAGTTTCCAGGTTTGGAAACAGTTTGGTGAGGATGTTGGGAATCATATGAAAGATGTAACCTCATCTGGCTGCCTGGGCTACTTAGATTGCATAAGAGGTGGAAAATGGAAAATGCAAAATGCATTTGTGCTCAGATAACAGCTTCCTGCGATGGTTTAGAAAGGGTGGCAGAGGCAGGGAAATGACAAGGAACTGCCAGGGGACCTACAGGAAGAAGACCTGCATTTCAGTCTGGGCCTTGGTACTAATTTTCTGGGTAACCCTGTACAGATCACTTCCCTTTTTGGAGTTTCAGTCTTCTCACCTGTAAAATGGAATGCGTTTGAATGATCTCTTACCTCCCCATAGGACTTAGCCACACCACAATTTCTCATGTTTTTATCCTGTTTGATTTTTACAATAAGTATCCATGGCAGGTGCTGTCAACCCTTGCAAGCTCAAGAGGGAAACAGTTTGCCAAAACCATTCAGCAATGACTCTTGTGGCTTCTAAGTAAGTATTCCCACTCACCAGGTCACTAGCAGTTCTGAAGTTCTAACACTCCCCCTCAGCTTCGGAATTATAACAACATTCATTCTAGGAGGTAATATATGTCAATAGCAGGCCTAAGAAAAAATAAAACCATCCTGCCGCCCAGAGCAAATCAGGATTCCAAAGAGGAAGGAAGGGGCCGAGCTGAATTTCCACTGAAGAGCACAATGCCTGGGGGTGCTGATGCCAGGGTTCAACGCCAGGGTTTGGCCAGCCCCGGGTCCCAAATCGTGACTTTCTTCCTTGCTTGGTTTGGGAAACTCCACGTCACCAGGGTGAGTGATGGAAGAAAACAGCACATCAGCACTGCCTGCTGCCTCATTCTTTGTCGATGCTGGCAAGGCTCAATTTAGCACTGGGGAACTTGATTTTTTTAAAAAAATGTCTAGATCTTCCTCAAAACTGAAAAAGGACTATTTTTGAACTCTGAAAAAGAACATTGAGTTCTGTTTCCTCTCTCTGCCTTGGCAGGATTCACTAAGTTCATAATTCCACTCAGGACACACAGAGATAACGGCACCCATCCCAGCCTCTCCAGCTGCCAACTGCTTGGGCTGGCTCTGGCAGGTGGCTGGAAGGTGTTTTCCTGCATCCTGGGGACGGGTGGAAGACACTGGCTCCAGCCCAGGATTTGGGTGCAGTTGAGCTACTCCTGGATAAGCCACCCGCTGACACTTGGAGAATAGGAGGACAGGTGCCTAAGCACATGAAAGCAACCAGAGCAAGGGTGGTCTGGCTAAGACCACCTCTGAGAGCCACAGAGCTAGTGGTTGCCAATTGATCTCGGGGGTTGGTGGCCTGGGGGGGTGCTCCATCTGAAGGGTCCCTAAACGCCAACTGGGATCACATCCGTGAGTGGGCACAAGAGGCACTGATAATTCCAAGTGCCTGCAGCTGATTCCCAGTGGCCTCTGAGCCACGACCCAAGGCCACACGCTAAGAACTTAGCACTGTCAGGGTACTGTGTACTCTGCTTATCACCCCGTGGGGACCCTTTTAATGTTTGTGGTCTGTCCTCCTCATTACTTCCTGGGGGCTACCATCACCCAGGTGATAGCAGGAGGGTGCTATCACCCTCAAGGGCAGGGACTGGATCTGATTCATCCTAGTATACAGTAGGAGTTCAATAATGTATGTTGACTCAATGAATGAATGAATGAATGCACGAATGAGGCACCCCACCTGTGTCACACCTGGGTCAGTGTGGCACATCCACTGGTTCCCTCCTATGGGTTCCTACCATGACCAGATACCAAACCCCGCAACACGTGCACCTGCAAAGCCAGTGGCTCCGAGGGGCTGCCCCTCCCCTGCGTGGAGCTGCTGCTGCTGCCGCCGCCGTTTCCTGCCCTGGGCCCTTCTCTTCTCCCTTAGGCTCAGCATCCATATCTCTTCCCTCATCTCCCCTGGCCCCACCACCTAAGCCAAGTGCCCTCTTACACCCTGTCCCTTTTTTGTTAGGACACTCACTCTCATCTGCCATTTCATATTTGCCTAGTATTTGTCTAACATCGGCTCCATGAGAGAGGGAACCGGCCTGTTTTCTTAAGATTCTTTCTCCAGAGCCTAATCCAGAGCCCAATCCTCTGGCGCACAGAGGCAGGAAAGCACTGGATGAACGGTGCTGACTGTGCACCAGTCGAGCCACGCAGACGAGAGGTGACCTGTACACCCATGTCCTTCTCTCCTTCCCTTTCTTCCTCTAGGAGTCACCCCAACTCATGGCTCCAGCCACCCCCTCTTTGAGAAAAAGCTCTAAACTCCACCCGTCTCTGGTGAGCCCGCCACACCCAGTGCTCCCGACAAGGCGTCGGGCCTCATCTCGTGCGGTGTCTTCCCACCGACTCACAGCAGAGCAGCGCTCCGTCAGCCACCGCGCTGTCCCGGAGACTCAGAGGTACTTGAGGCCAAGGCCACGTGGGCCACCAGCACTGGGGACTCAGCTGTCTTCTACTTCATCACAGCCATGGGCTGCTCATGGGTGTTGTGCATGACTCCTGATGGCATTCCAGGAAGGGGAGGGGCGTGGAGGTGGCACTCATCTGCAGCCTGGCGTCATCTCAGCCCTCGGCCTCTGCTCCAAGTCCCACAGCTCTGCCCCGGCCCCTCCTCCAGAACCCACCTCCTCTCTGCCCACACCTCTGGTTCTCCTGACACTCCTCTGGTCCCAGGTTTCACCTCCTTGGCGGACACCCAGAGCCTTTTCCTACTGCAGCCCTGTCCTGTCCCCAGCCGACTTCTCCAGCCTCGCCACCCTGCGCCCTCTCTTGCCCACCCTCTGTGCTCCCTGTGCCTCCCCCCACCCCGAGGGCATCACTCAGGTCACACCGGGTGGTGATGCTGCCAGTGGGACCTGGAACAAAGCCATCTGGGTTCAAAGCCCCTTGGCAGGGCCTTTAACCTCACCGTGTCTACTTCCTCCATCCATAAAATGGGGACAATAATAGAACTTACTTCACAGGGTTGTTGTGGTCAATAAATGCAAAGAAGTACTGACAACAAGTCACACAGCATCTGGGACATGGTTGGTGGTCAGTAAATATTCAGTCCCTCCTGGTATCAGGGAAGAGGATAATATGCAGCCATGCCAACAAAAATAAAGACAAGTAGTTTCAAGACAGCAGCACAGAAAGGCAGCACCATTCTGCAGCTGTTTTGGCTCAGGAGCCGGCAGGAGCGGGCGCTTCCAGAGCCGTCGTCTGATGGCCCCGAGCTGCCTCATGGGGGGACTGACGCCGTGGCTGTGGATCGGGGGAAAGTCCAGGACACCAACAGCCCGGGGCGTCAGTGTGGCGATGCTGGACAAAGGCATCACTGCCTGCCCGCTGCACAGGTTAGCCGGAACTCAAAGGGCCCCCATCAGGGAATGGTTCGGCAGAGGTATATGGACATAGTGTCGGGCCGGTTAGGATGTGCAGCTGCCCACAATCCTAACTGCAAAGCAAACCAGGTGCTGGTGTTAACTGTCCTGTTCCCATATGGAGAAATGCTCACTGCTTCTGCCCTTCATGGTGACACGAAAACCACTCTCTCAGCCCTGACACCCTTCGAGCTGCTGTCCTTTGTCCTTTCGCAAATTTGCTGTCTCCTGAGGGAAGGACTGTCTAGACTCAGGGTCTACACTCCAGCTCTTGTCATTCACTCCTCGGGTCCCTACAACCTGGCTTTGGCCACCAGGGTCACCCCTTGCATGCAGTCGCGTCTTCTCACTGCCCCACCCCTCATGGCCCTGCTGCAGATGAGTGCCACCTCCACGCCCCCTCCCCTTCCTGGAATGCACTCAGGAGTCATGCACAACACCCATGAGCAGCCCATGGCTGTGATGAAGTAGAAGACAGCTGAGTCCCCAGTGCTGGTGGCCCACGTGGCCTTGGCCTCAAGTACCTCTGAGTCTCCGGGACAGCCCTGAACCTTTCTGTCTCCTTGGCTCTTGCACTGGGCTCTGACCATCTTGACTAGGCCTTTGGTTCCCAGCCCACCTGTGGCTAACTGGCCTGCATGCTAGCCTTGCCCCATTTCCATGACTGGCCCTCCAAAGCTTTCTGTCCTGGCCTGGCACCTGCCCTCCTGGGGCCCCAGGCCCCAGCCAGCCATGTGCTCTGCCTGGAGCTTGACCACTCTACTGACGCCCAAATCTTCATCCCAAATGAGGAACCCCTGCAGAACTCCAAACCTTCAGGGACAACTGTCCCCACTGGGGTGGCCCACAGGCACCTCAAACACTCTGGCCTGAACTGAACTCAGTGTTCCCCCGCTCCTGCTCCTCCCTTGCCTTCATTAATGGCACCAACATCAACTTAGTCTCTGGGGTCAGCCCTCCTTCACCCCTCCGTCTACCTCACTCACAGCCAGCCGGTCACAGTCATCCCCTCCTTTTCTCCTCCTGCCCACTCGCCTGGAGTCTCTCCCCACCCCACCCACCCTCCTGCTATCACCTGGGTGATGGTAGCCCCCAGGCATGCAGAAGACTGGGTTGGGGACACAGGACAACTGGGAGCATGCGGTGTTGGATGTGGCCAGAACCCACACCTCTGGGGATGGGACACAGGGTGCGTGCGGCAGGGACTGGACAGGAGCAAGGAGACAAGGGTAGGGGGTTGAGGGCTCTGGAGATCAGGCCACCTTCTGGAGTTTTTGGGATTTGTGAAGACCATATGGAAACACACTTGGAGATGGAGAGTGTGGGACACATACGAGATACGGGGAAATGCTTCTTACCTGCGATGTCACAGAGTTCTGCATCCGAGGCATTTGCCAAGGCCTCCTCCAGCTCTGGCTCCAGCGTCACACTTTCCAGCACAGGATCCATTGGCTTCTGCTTGGGGACCCAGACTTTTCCTGCAAACACATGGGGTGCCTGTTACAGGGTGAGTGTCTGTGATGGGGCAGCCTCTGGCAATGACCCTGGTGGACTATTGTAGGGCCCACGGGATCCCTCCATACTCAGAGTCCCCTAAGTCTTCTTCCTCTGGAGACCAATCTCCCCAAAGAAGAGAAACAGGGATCACCAATGAAGTACCCCTCACACGTGAAAAGAATGACTTTATAACTTGGCCAAAGCAGACGGCTCTCTATTGAAAGCATTGGTCATAACTTTAAACAACCTGTAAATAGGAAAAAAAAAATACAAAAGAAAAATATAATAGAATGCCATGATCTGGTATACCCTAATCCAGGGTTCCGATACAAGAGAAAAATGTATAAACATTTCTAAACAAAATAAATAAAATACACTCAGATTATTAAAAACAAAAAGTGACCAAAAATGTATCCCTGCTTCATGGGACATTTTATTTTTTAAGTGTCAGATTCATAAGTGAATGAGAGAGAAAAGAGGTATGCCTGAGGACGGTCATTTCTGTGTCCACCCATAGGATTAGGAAGAAATTATGGTGAATCCATGGAATGGGATTCCAGCAGTTAGCATAAAGGATGATGGATATCGCTGCTGACTAAGAAGGAAAATGCCCAAGACAAATGTTGTGTGAGAAAGCAAGTTTACAAAATATCAGGAACAATTTAATTACATTTAAGAGAGATTGCATATATATATGCATATATATTTATATATATATTCATGCAACATATATATACACACACACATGCAACAGTATTTATTGAGCACTTCCTATGTGCCAGGCACCTTTCTAGGGGCTGGGGGTGGGGCAGCAGTGAATACGGCTCTCAAGAGCTTACAATTTAGTGAAAGGAGACAGATAAACATGTAAAGATGTCAGATGTCACAAGCATTATGGAGGAAGATAAAGCAGGACAAGGGCTGGGAGATGCCAGGCTGGGGTGGGTGAAGTGGGCCTTGCTGTTTTGGGAAGGGTGGTCAGGGAAGGCCTCACTGAGATGGTGGCCTATGCCTGGGACCTGATAGAAGTAAGGAAGTGGGCCCCAAGATCAGGAACAAGACAAGGATGCTCACTTTTACTGCAGCTATTCAACATTGTACTGGAAATTCTAGTCAGAGTAAATTGACAAGAAAAAGAAATCAATAAAATCCAGACTGGAAAGGAAGAAGTAAAATAATTTCTGTTCATAGATGACATGATCAATAAAAAAACCTGTTAGAACTGATAAACAAGTTCAGCAACATTGCAGGGTATAAGATAAACATACAAAAATAAGTGGTGTTTCTGTATATGAGCAATGAACAATCTTAAAAGGAAATTAGGAAAACAATTTCATTTATAATAAACATCTGTAAAAATATAATACTTAGAAAAAAAATTAACCAAAGAGATAAGAGTTGTACAATGAAAACTACAAAACATTGCTGAAAGAAATTAAAGAAGACTTAAATAAATGGAAAAATATCCTGAGTTCATGGATTGAAAGATTTAATATCATTAAGATGGCAATACTACCCAAAGCAATCTAATTTAATGTAATCACTATCAAAATTTCAATGGGCTTTTTCACAGAAATGGAAAAGCCAATCCTTAAATTCATATGAAAGTGCAAGGGCCATAAATAGCCAAAATGATTTTGTGAAAGAATAAAATTAGGGGACTCATACTTATTGATTTCAAAACTTACTGCAAAGTGAAGTGGTGTGGCACTGACGTAAGGATAGACATATAGACAATGGAATATTATTGACAGTCTAGAGACACACCCAAACATCTATGGCAAACTGATTTTCAACAGGGTGTCAAGTCCATTCAGTGGAGAAAGAATTCTCACTTCAACAAGTGCTGCTGGGAGAAGTGGAATCCACATGCAAAAGAATGAAGTTGGATACCTATCTCACATCATATGCAAAAAATGAACTCAAAATGGATCAATGACTTAAATGTGAGAGCTAAACCTATGAAATTCTTAGAAGAAAACACAGGTAAAAGTCTTCATGACCTTAGAATTGTCAATAGAGTCTTAGATATGATAACAAAAAACACAAGCAACAAAATTAATAATAGATCAATTGGACTTCATCAAACTTTAAAAGTTTTGTGCAGGGCCGGCCCGGTGGCGCACTGGATAGTGCGCCACTTGGGAAGTGTGGCGGCGCTCCCGCCCGAGGGTTCGGATCCCACATACAGACCGGTTCCCGCTCACTGGCTGAGCGAGGCGCGGGGGCAGCGCCGAGGGTTGCGATCCCATTGCTGGTCCCCGGTCCGGTACGGGGGCAACACTGAGGGTTGCGATCCATTGCCGGACACGGAAAAAGACAAAAAGACAAAAAAAAAAAAAAAAAAAAAAA